TTTTGACACATTATGTTATACTCGGTTTTCGTTTATATAAATCGTAAACAAGGGTTTTCGGACAACCCCCATGTGAACATGTCGTACACTGTAAAGGATATGATGCTGCCATTTGCATCACCCTGCCTTCCAAGAAACGCGGCATGTAACAAACCTGTCTGTTGAGACCTGGGAGCTATCTGTCAGCCAAAGCTGGCCTGCGCGGCGGCCAAGATCAACGATCGCGCAGCTTCATGGCCTCAAGCTAGCTGAGTCACGAGGAAACCACATGGGTGCTCTGTGAAATTGAAGCACCTTGGCCTCCAAAAATGCAGAAGCCCACGGTGATGGCAGGATTCAATAGCCTTGTCGGAAGGCTGAGCTTGAACACGATTGGAGCGTGTTAAACAGGCCAGGTCGTCCCTCCAGAGACCTCGCTGCAAGGAGGCCCTCCTGCAGAAGGGCAACACCCACATTCCGTCCCCTGACTACACTCAGAATAACACGGTCGCTGACCAGCTATCAGGACCAAGCCAATGGCAATGGCAAAGAACTGGTTCCTTCCGGGTCCAACACGCCACAGATGGAACACACTCTCCAGCCAGGAACGAGCAGCTTGAGATTATCCTCTACTCATCTCCAATAGCCTTCGCCTTACAGCTTCTCCCCTCCCTCTCCCTTCAAAACTCTGTGGCGACACCCCACACGTGAGCCCCGGGAAACTTCTGCTGCCCGCTTGTACTAGTAGCTTAGCTCCTTTCTATTGAATTAATACAGAGACCCATCAACCGGATTCACGTCCTGCGGTCAAGGCAATTGCAAGCTGGCACCTCTTGAATCATAGGATCCCATGCTACCCAATTCAGGCTTAAGCAAGGTGTTAAACAAGACCAGGGTCTGAGCCTTCTCAAATTGTGTCTCACTTGGCGACGAACTTGTTCATGAGCACATACACCACCCCAAACCTAACACCTCCACGCCTAGACAGGATGCTTCGTCTTACTTTGTCTTGAAATCCAGCACCCCATTCGGTGCATGCTCCCCCGCTCCTGAATCCTCTGGGATTATTCTCCAAAGAGGCCACGCAGTTGAGGGCAACCAGGCAGTACATCGCGCTGTAGATGCCCTGAGCAAATTCATGCGTATGCGCTGCAATGGGCACTCATCATTGACATGGCTGTGCACCTAAGGATGCAGTAGTCTCATAACTTTTAATGAAAAGCGCTTTCCATTAGCAATAGAAACTTGTCAGCAACCAGGTGTGCAAGCCTCCACCACTCCCGCATCAACGAAGCCGTAATAGGACTGCAAGCAGAGACATGGCGGTGCCAATAGCAATCGAAGAATCCGCCTTTGGCTCAATCGCAGGAAGCTCTTTCTGCATGATCACACGCACGGAACCGCAAGCTGCCACGCCGGCAGCAACCTTACCAGAAGTTGTGCGCACGTCGTAGAGAAAAGCACATATGCAAGGCTGGCAAATGCTCCGCTTGACCAAATCATCCCTGCCAGGGCGAAAAACCCTGCCACACATGCTCCGGCGAACAACGGGAAAGCAGGCCAACTCCGCCATAATCAAAGCACCTAGCTGACAGCATCATCAGAACCCCAACCTTGGAATTGGATCAGGGCTACCATGGGCTACTCATGTCGGCTCGTTTTGCTTTGATTGCGCCTGCCAACCCCTCGACGCCTCAAGATCCCTGCCAACCTGAAATTCAGCCCTGCCACTAGATCCATTGTCAATCCCAGGTGCATGCCTTACTGATGCTTATCAGCTGCGGGCCTGTAGGAAAATGTACGTCCAGACGCGACCCCAGTACATCTTTCGGGACCTTCAGCTGCCATGGCTGCCACACCATGCTCATGATTGCACGGTGGGCCGTCTCTCAGCTCCACACAAACCGAATGCAAGAGAGACTGCAGGGTTCAGGTGGCCTGCCAGCTTGGACATACATGAAACCTACTGGAATCCAGCATAAGCCCGACACTTCCAGATACAGCGCTTGTTGCCGATATAGATGCAATAGTGGCAAACCTTGCGCCAGGCGCTGTGGTTTTGGAGCTGTGTACGCCTTTGTCTCTCGAAGATTGACTCATCATGGACGCACGGGGCGTCTGCAGGTATCAGCCATGCTGCAACTATTTTAGCCCCTTCAAGTGAAGCCGAATAACACGAGCCACTTTGGGCTCACTAACGCTGCTTAATCTATGACGGCAGTCTGGGAAGCTTCTTCCTGGGCCGTACTGTCGCGCTCGTAGCTGACACCTACGAGGCATTTGGTCAACCATCTTTTCTCAACAGATGCCCGTACCGTATTGCGCTTATTATCTCTTATTTGCTTTTCTTCTGTGGCCAAACCTTCCAAGATATACCAAGACACAAACATACCCTATGCTGTTTTGGTGGGCTTACAAACCTGAAGACGTGCTGAACCTCGACTTACAAAATTAGAGGAAGCCTTTTGCTTTCAATCTGCGGCTGACATGGAAAACATGCTACTTCGTGGTACCGGTGACATTGGCTTCGCAAACAAACATGCCATGGCCGATTTGTCTCGCCGGCCTCCGTCTGACAAGCGTCTGTATGGACTGACCTCTAAATTTGTCGCCCGCTCCCAATCCTCCCTTAACACCTGGACTGTGCCACCCTCAAACCCAGCATGGCTGTAGGTGATAGAGGCTCTCTGCGATCATGCCTGGCGAGAAACGCGTTGCTCTTCCATTAGAAGCGAGCCCGGCGACACGGTACAAAACGTGCACAACTCAACGTTGCCCAGCGTATTCCCAGCGTCGTTCTTGGTTCCTGCGCTGTTCACCCGCCCTCCTGCAAAGATGGTATGCCAAATGCTGGCTTGCCTTTTGGCTGTGAAACTTTTGGCAGTGACTGCTAAGCATCGCAGCCTATGATCTCAAGACTAACGCCTGGCCCTTTACTGTACACGACTCAACCACTCATGCTGAGCAGTTGAAAGCACAAAAGGCTCAACCCGTGCAGCTGCTGTGCCACGGCATCAGGTTAATGTGGCGGTACGAGAACCTAAACGATATTTGAGGCAATGCCCACGGTCGAGAACCCGACGCGGGGGGTCGAGCAAGGCTCGGACGTGCTTCACTATGCTTCACATACAGACATGTCTGTGACTTGACGGCCCAATGACGGCCAGGCAAAAGCATAGTCCACCAGGGTGAAGGCCCAGATATGCCCGGTTTCCCTTATACTGCCAGCTAAACGCATACAAGCTCCTGCCTTCTCCAAGCTCAGAATCCGAGGCGGATGCGCTCCATGGCGTTAGCAATCATAGGGACTTGTAGATCGACGACAGTCTTGAGTTCGTGCCGCAATTCGCTTCAAAAGAAGCAATTTTCAGAGAGCTGCATAGGTAGCCATTGGCAGGACCTGACAGGCCAGAAGCAGCTTCATGGTTCTCCAGAACTCCAAGCATGTCATGTGACTGCCAAGGTGCCGTTTTTCTGGAGACCTCCGCTTTGATGCTGTAAACACGTAGGGGGGTTAACTCCTGCATGCTCGAGATGAGGAGTTTCACTCTAGATGAAATCTGGCAGAATTTGGCAGCAGAGTCCTCCAGAAGCTGAAGCTGAAAGCCAGTTTCAAGAAGTCCCTGCGTTTCATAGAGTGGATTCTGCCGCAGCTCCGCTGGCAAACTTCCTGCCAAACTGTTTGCGCTGCGATGCGCTGCGTGTTAAAAATTGGCAAAATCTCGACTGTCACGTTCGAGCCTGGACTGCCCAGCATTTGCTTCACCTCGAAGGCAGCGGATACATTGTAAAAGAGTTGAAGGCACGGAGTCTGAACGCCGGGCAAGTTGCAATGACAGAGCAAAGATCCTCCGCTTCGGCACATTTGTCAAGTGGGATGAAGGCCAAGGCCTTCTTGCCCAGTGCCTTGTCCTCAAAGCAATCGCGGGAGACTCGCGGGAGGCGATTCAAGGCACAAACGGTATGCCGAGGAGTTGCCTTGCTGAAGAGCAGAATCACAGCCTGGCATAAAGCTATAGCAGCTATGGAAAGGATCAAGGATCCAAGTTGATCCGTGTCAACCTGGCCTGGTAGCCACGATCTCGGGCCAGAGCTTGGCCTGCCTCCACCACTCCGCTTGGTCGTCCCGCTTTTGCACATATCTCGGTAATTGTCCCGAAGATACTGGCAAAGGCGACCTGTAACACCAAGCGTGCCCAGCCTGGTTCTGATAGTGCCATTTACCAACGTTTACGGCATTTTACTGCGTTCTGATGCGTTCAGTTCGTTCCGACTCTTGGGCGTTGGGGGCTTGCTGCCAGGAAGCGTTCAGCCCTCGCAAGGATACAACTTTCATGTCAAGCAGCATCAGCTCGCGAATGGACAGATGCGAAACGTCCTTCCTTGCTCGCATTAGCTCTTTGTACCTCAGCAATAGCAAATCCACAGACATCCACAACACAACATCAAGAAGGGACGATCAATGGGGGCATCACTTAGAGCGTTGGCTGGTCACATGCTCATGTACTGAGCATCTCGCCAAGCTATGTTGCCTCGATCTGGAATCATGCCCTGGAGTGCATCCAGAGCTGCTCGGTCCCTATCTGTACCTGCGAGTAGAAACAGCATGCAAGCGGATTGATCTGCTGAGTCAGTTTTGTATACTTCGTTGCGCAAGCTCCTTGCAGACATGGTTCCCTTCTTTTCCTTCTCATCGAAGTTGCGACAATCAAGCAAAATTGCTCCGGCCAGCAGCGTGCCAAGCTCCCGCGAGAGCTTTTCAGAGCCCCTACAGCCATGTCAACAGCCCAAGTAGAAACATGTTGAAGCTGCCAATCAAACGTTACTGACAGCACTGTCCCCCTGTACCTTTGCAGGAACTGCTCCGTGACCTGTCTGCAGGTCGGTGCATAACACATGCAGCCGATGCCTTCTTTGCCTTGTTGGATTGGCTGCAGACCTCTAAGACCACGACCAGGGAACAGCAAGAACCCAGGCCCTCGTCAATGTCATTGCGAGCGTCAGGGTATTGGATGCCCCCGGCATGATGGTCTAGCACCTGCAATATTGTTTATATAAGTCAGCGAAGAGACAAGACATCACGAGCACTTCAAGCATCTTAAGGCCCCTGCCCACTCTACTTTTCCTTCGAAGTGGCCAGCAACTTGGGATGTCATCTTATTGTGGTCTGTCAAAACCAGTGTCCGATCTGCAAGTGTGTCCACAAAGGGCCAATCCACCTCATCCCAGAAACGAAGACCCGCAGGGCTCCCATCCTTACACCAGGAGCACTCTTAAACACTCACGTTAAAAGGGGCCTAATCCTGCTCTAAGGCTAACGCTAATGCTGTGAAGCGGCTGTGAGGACCGGACTTTGTGCCTCCTTGAAGAGCTTCAGCGCATCGCCACGCAGTCGGAACTCCTCCCGCGGAATCTGTGCCAACGCGACGCCCTGTACATCTGGACTGTCCAGCAGCCGTGCCATGGCGTACCTGAAGCAGAAGCGCTCTCACCATCCCGTACCTGTCCTTCCAATCCACAAACCATCCTGATATATCCTGATGCTGTCTGGCGCTCAGCCACCAAACAAGTTGCAGCTCAGGGGCGCTGAGACCAGGGAGTCAACATCTGCAGCTTCATTACCGATGACAAACACTGGACGTCTACTGACATCTGGGCTGAATGCTCCTGGATTTGCCATCCTGCTCGGACAGGAGCAACAGACTTCGGAAATACTGCCATTCTTTCCCGGCGGGTCCTCGAACACGAGCTGGCTGCACGGCCAACTACAACAGTCACCCCACGCAAGCCAACGGACAGCGACAGCAGCGCCGGCACCCGCCAAGAAGTCCTGACTGGAGTTGCCAGGCCTGACATGTTGTCCAAGTTGAAGAGAGCCAAGAGGCTGCTTGGACTTGTGACAGTTGGGCTTAGATCACATCACTGCCCCGTTGCCTCGCGTGCCTGCACGGCTTCGGCTTCGTCTGCACCAAGAAGCTGCGCGGTCAGCACAACGGCTCTCCGAGCACCAAATTGCCGCAATGACCATCCCGCACAGACAGGGCTTGAAATCGAGCCAAAAATTGGATCCGTCGAATGAAGAGCTTTGACTCAACAACAAGGGCTTCTATGGGCTTCTTGCAAGGCAGACTTGAATCTGCTTAAGCTACAGGCGCCATCCCAGACGCACGCCATGCCCAGGAGCCGACAAAGGTCTCATCTCCTGCATTGTCTGAACCGCTTGGCTTGGCTTCAGCTCGGCTGCGTGCGATTGCGACGCGACTGGTCTGCGGGAAATCAGGTGCGGACTCACCATGAGCAAACTGGACGTGAAAGCCACGAAGAAGGTTCCTGATATGGCATAGCACGTGTGTCTAGCGAATGACCCCGAAGGATGCACTCTCCCCATGCCTAGAAATTCTGCGAAATATGTAGCGAAAGGCAGCACATACTCAGAAAGCTGTACTGGCATGACCTAGGCAAGGCAAGTAACATACGTGGTGCGGCGCCGCTGATTATCCGGAATATGGAGGCCTGCGCATGTCTGAGGTGCAAGCCTCGTTATCGGATAGGTATCTCGCAGGGGTGGTTCTGCCTCAATCTAGCGAAGTCCATCATCGCTGCAATCCGCTGCATGCTGCATCTTCATCTCGATAGTCCAATGTGGCAGGGTAGACTCAGTCACTGTCGAGGTAGTGTTGCTGGAGACTCCTGGCCGCAGAGTCATAGTCAGTACAGTACACTGTTGCAACCCTGATTTCGAAACGTTCTCTGCACCTACAGCCGCATAGGCCGCAGCCTGGGAGGCTCAGCCTCAGCACGGGCATGCTGATACAGGACAGCTAGGCACAAGCTGGAGAATGATAGAAACATGGAGCTCAGCTAGCAACTTGCAGCCGTTGGACCATGCCAGCTACTCCAAAACAACTTGGGAGCCGGACTGCACGGCAGGCAATTGCGAAGCAGCATGTAATTCCAAAGATCTGATGGGCATGATCGCGCGTGGCACGAAATGTGTGCTGGCACATCCCGCCACTTTTGCTATTGATTTGTTCGATCCCTTAGACTTGCCAAGAGGGCAAGGAATCCATATGCTAACGCAGAGGATGCACGGGATGCTTTGCTGCATGGCCAGCCTCAAACGACGACCCAGCTCTGGCGTCAGAAAACGCTGCAAGCCCAGCTGGCCCCGCTTGAGTTGATGTCACATGTCAGGCTGTCAGCCACACCAGGTGTTGGACTTCGCAATGGCCACCATCAGTGTGGCTACTGTGGACCTAGAAGAGGACAGTTGGTGGCTTCCTTCATCCCCTTGGTGCAGATGCATCGCCTCATAAAGAAGGTGCTTGCAGTTGCCGTGCACCTTCAGTGAACGCACAAGTCTTGGGGAGTCTCAACTCTGAAAGCTCCGGTGTTGTGGCACTTCAGGTAGGTGGCGACCATGTCTTGGAAGTGAGGGAAATCCTGGCAATCTCTGAACAAGGTCCGAGGTCTGGTGAGTTTTGAAGTTTTGAGGCTTGCCTGCCTCTCATCGGGAGGATCTGTTTCGCTTGGATGGTCGAGAAAGGCTCCAACAACACGCAGCAGCGGCCTACAAAAGCCAGCACCAGTACATGAGGAAAGCTGACTCTCAGCGTGATGCCTCAGGAAACAACTTGATAAGCCAAGCGTCTCAGGAGCATCAGAAAGAACTGCGGCTGAACGCATCACTCTCTGAGGTTCCGCTTTGTCAAGCAGGCTGTCCACATCCTTGGGCACTTCAATCTCGACAAGCTGTCCTTCAGCATTCTTGGATTTGTCAGTGGATAGTTTATGGACGTCTGGCATTATCGAGAAATCTGTTGCTGTCTTGCTGATGATGAATTGTGCAGAGTTTGGACGCCTTCGCGGCTGGCTGATTGGCCGAATTGCAGTGTCTTCACTTCCTTGATGCTCCACTGTTTTCTCCCCGGCATTATGATGTGCTGATAGCTTCATCTCGTCGCGGAGCTTGAAGTATCTCGATTCACCCACAGCTAGCCGGAGTGCTCGTACAGCACGCGCATCATTCCGCAGCAGGTGTTGAGACTGCATGAATGCATCCTCCGCCTCCTTAGCAGCCTTCGGCTTAGCATTGGCGCATGCGCTTATAAAAGCACGCTCACATTCAGCATCTCGCGGCCGCAACTGCGCTGCTGCATTTAGAATCTCGGACAGCTGATTGTAATCACCATGCCGAGCCAGGACCTTAGAAATGGCACGATAGCTGGCCAATGTGGGGCGCAACCTCAAAGCCTTCAGCTCAGACCATGCCCATTCAGCAAGCTCCTTGTCGAGTACTTTAGCTGCTGAGTTCATCAAAAGGTTGTAGCTTATGACATCAGGCTTCACATCTGCAAATGCCAGTCTGCCCAGCCAAGCTATGATTCGGCAAGGGTCTTCCTTGGCCCAAGCTTGCAGCAAACTGTTCGAACCGACGATCTCGACCTCTGCCCCCTTTGCTGCCAGGCTCGAGTACAACCGCTCTGCAGAGAGAGGCTGCTGAGCGCTTTCACACACTGTCATCACTGCATTGATGGTAAAAGAGTTCGGGCGTATGCCCGCTTGCTTCATATCTTCCAGAATCTGTTCCGCCTCTTTCAGATCCCCGGCCGCTGCGCAAGTCCTAATCAAAGACGTGTAGGTCACAACATTCCTTGGAATGCCGTGAAGTTCCATCTGTTGCAGAATGGCATAGCCTTCATCAATATCACCAACTTGAGCACATGCCGACAGCAACGAAGCGAATGTGCGGGCGTCTGGTGCTTCACCAGAACGGCGCGACCGTTCGAGCCACAAACGCGCGCGTGACAAGTCAGGAGCTCGGGCAGCGGCCTTCACAAGAGATCCGAAAGTCTGTATGTCTGGGATCTGCTTCGCACGCACCATGTCCTGGAACTTCCCCTCTGCCTTGATCGGCTGCCGAGCAGCCGCATACATGTCCAAGAAGGTGTTGAAGAGCACGCTGTTGGGTTCAACGCTACACTTGGCCATTTTGAGCCATAGACGTTCTGCTGTCACAAGTTCATGCCGCCTTCCACACTGGCGCAAGATAGCGCCAAAGGTCACGGCGTTAGGCTCGCAGGCGGCGCGTTTCATGCTATCCAGCCATTCCTTGCGCATGCACGCAAATGGCCTTGCGACACACATGAACTGATGCCTACGCCGCAAATCAAGAATTTGCTAACGTATCCTCGGCCAGAGTAGTCCGACCGCTTCCGGCCAGCCCGGCAATGATGGACGTGTACCTGGAATCGCAACTTCACATCATGTCCACAAGGCTCCCTTGCATTTTCACGTTGCACATACTCAGCAAATGAATTCTCTGCCGCAATGCGCATGATGTGCAGGCACACTACAGCACCTCACTAGTCACTTCTCTTTCGTTCGGAGCTTGGGTAGACTGACCCTGATGAGAGGATTAGCCAGTCGTGACCTTTACTGTCTGTTTCGCTCATCCACGGATCGAACCAATACAAAAATTTGATATGCGGAAGCCTACCAAGCCTGGTGCAAATTTGCTTTTCATGTCACCGTGCACTGCACATCAGAAGACAGCTTCGCGAGGCACATGATAGATTCCAGAAGCCTGACCGCTTTTCAACAGACCGAAAGATCTTGAATGGGCAACTAATAGCTGAGATGGCCATTGTGAGTGAAGACCCTATCAACAAGCTATCTTTCCGATGGAGGATTGCCCCAGACTCATGATCGTCGGTACTGCAACACAAGCGGGCAATCATTTCCCATCAAGGTCCATGGAAGCGGGCACGTTATAGTGTCTGGTCGCAGCTCTTGGCCTCAAGCGCTCAGCTTATATGCAGCGACAATGCAGCTTACGACCTACGTCAGCAGCATGTCTGGACGGCGTCGCAAAAAAAAACAGACCAGCGAAGCACTAACGTGTCGTCTGCCTTTCAAAAACACGAATAACGAGTGTCATCAACAGGCTCAGGCCGTGACGACGCATGTCTGACATTGTGGTCACAGCTGACCTAACTTGCCCTGCCTGGCACACGCAAGGAATTCGCATGCACTAGCGCTTGCGCACTTACAGAAGCGCCTGCGCATATGCATTGATGAGTGTGTTGTAGCTGGATGCACTGGGCAGCACTGCCGACTGCCTGCGTACTAGGGAAGTTTACTGAGTGCATGAGCTACTCCTTTCACATAACCATGGGAGGCAGGCGAGGAGCTGCGAATGTGGGGCTAGAGAATACTTGGCAAATGGTCCCGAGAGCAATGCGCCCCTAGAGCACTTGAGAATCAATTTGCATCATCCTCAGCTCCACGGCCTTGTCAAATTAAAGATCGCGGCTGCAGCTTTGACATCTCCGGCCTTGAGCTCAAAGCTGGGCTTCGCTTGGTTCGCCGCGTGATTTGAAATGCTGGGCCAAGCACATCTCCATAGCCTTTGATAACGCTGTTGAAATGCATCACGCTCTGCAGGCCGTCCTGGAGCACAGG